ATTTTGATTCCCAGTGACCCCATGTAATGGAGTAGAACTTCTCCATAAGGATTATTTGGCTGTAATGTTGATGGAGCAGGCTGCCTGGTCTTTCTTCCACAGATCTGCCTGGTGCATTCAAGCCATCATCCTTTTGGTTAGCGGCTGAGTGCTCAACTGTTGTGCCACCAGAACTCTTTAAATATGTTACTATATATGAATATAAAAAGCAAGCTAAAGAAAAATCACTATTTGGTTGTATGAAAAATCTACTAAATTCATTATTATCTTCCATTTTTCATTATTATTTCACTAGTATATTATTCATTAGTAGTAAAGTATAAAAATATAATGAGTACCTGTCAACCCCAAGAGAGCCATGGTGTCACTGTGAAGTAAGCATTAACCAAAAGGTCAGAGGTTCAAACCCAGCAGCCACTCTGTAGGAGAAAGATGAGGCTATTTGCTCTCCTACAGACTTATGATCTCAGAGATCCTGTATAGGATCACCAGGGGTTGGAATCGTCTTGATGGCAGTATTGTTGTTGTTGTTGTTTTTAATTTTGTGAACCCCAAGTCAACATGCATGTATTTTCCTATTCTACTCTCTAGCTTTCCCCAGAAATAACCATGTTTTATAGCATATATTCATTATAGTATAAAATGAGAGGGCTTCAAAAATTTGTAGAAAAATGGAATTGAAAGATAACGGAATTTTTCCATGAACAAGAGGAAGCCCTCTGATATTGTTGTTGTTTTCTTTGTTTTTGTTCTTTATAAAATTTCTATCATACTGTATATAGTCTTCTGGGCCTTTCTTTTTCTTATTTGACATTGTATTTACATTTATCTGTGTTCCTGGGAAAGCCTAAATTCATTGATGCTATAAATCATTAGCTTTGTGAATACATCACAATTTATCTGTTCTCTTGCTAGTGAACTTTGGGGTCTCCATGGTTTTATTAGTTTACAGTGTTTGCTACACCATGAGCATGATTATACAACCCTCCAAGTAGGCACGTGTACGTGTTTCTTTGAAATAGATGCATATATGTGAACTGGCATTGCTATATTATGAGGTACAGTGATCTTCAATTTTGTGAGATATTTCAGTACTATTTTCCAAAGTAGTGTGCCAATTCCCATAGCTATCCACAATGAATTTTATTAAGGGTAAAATTCTCATTGTGATCTTTATTTGAATTTTCCTCATTACTGATAAGGTTCAGCATTTTCATTTAAGTATTTGTTTAAATGCCTGTTCAGTAAAATGTCTGCACATGTCTCTTTCTTTTTGAATTGTAGGATTTTTTTCATATTTTAGGTACTAGCTCTGGTAGCGTAGTGGTTATGAATCGGGCTAAGAACCGCAAGTTCAGCAGTTCGAAACTACCAGCTGTTCTGCGGGAGAAAGATGAGGCTTTCTGCTCCCGTAAAGAGTTACAGCCTTGGAAACCCTGTACAGGGTTGCTATGAGTTGGAACTGACTCCACAGCACATAACAACAACAAAAACATCCCTTATGTAAGTGCTCTGGTAGCATACTAGGTTATACATTGGACTTCTAACTCCAAGGTCAGCAGTTTGAATTTACCACTGCTCCTGTAAAAATTTACAGCCTCAGAAACCCTATAAAGGGTCATAATGAACTGGGACCGACTCCACAGCACATAACACAAACCACCATTAAGTCTTAAGCATTGAAAATATCTTACCTGTCTTTCTCATCTCTTTGTTTAATGTTATCTTTTCATGAACAGAAGTTCTCAAATTAAAACTCTATGTCTTATTTAAGAAATCCTTCTCTTTTCCGCTGTCAAATAATCTACACTTCATGTAGTAATTCAAAATTTCTTCTCTTCATACTGAAGTCCTTTATCTCTATAGAACTGAGTCCTGTGTTTGAAGCGAATTAACTAGTTTTACTGGAAACTTGCCCATCTGAATAAGTAGTTGTCTGAGCACCATTCAATAAATATTCTTTTCCGTTATGATCAGTGAAACCATCTATAAATTCATATGCCACAGTTTCTTATATTGATGGATTTGTTTCTACGCTCATTGGTCAATTTGTTTATTCCTGTAGCCATACAACTACTCTACTCATAAATCAATTTATCTACTTCCTATACCCACACAACTTTACAGTAATTACTTTAGGCTTACAATAACACCAGAGGGCAAGAAAAACTCCCCCCTTGTTTAGTTCTTTAGGATTGCCTTGATTATTCTTTGTTCTTTATTCTTTCTGATAAATTACAGAATCAGTTTGCCAAGTTCCATCAATAACTAGATTGAAATTATGGTTAGAACTGCATTGGATCTATTGATCAGGTAGGGTAAAAGCGACACAAACTTTCATGACATTGAGTCTTCATACCTACGAATAGGAAAAACGTTCATTTATACAGGCATTTTTTTAATATCAATAAAATTTTGTAGTTTTCATCAAGCAGACTTTACATATTTTCTGGTATATTTATCCCTAGGTACCTTATGATTGATTTTTGTTGCTACTATAAATGTTTTGTTTTTTAAAAAATCATGTATTTTTACACACAATTGAATATTCCACAACATTAAAAGAATAATGATGAATCTGCAAACCACCTCATAAAATGGATGAACTTGGATACATTATGCTAGGTGAAGCAAGTCAACCATAAAAAGACAAATATTGGATGAGACCACTATTATAAAAGTCAAGAAAAGGTGTTCATACTAAAGTAAACATTCTTTGATGGTTACCAAGGGTGAGAGGGGAAAGGAGGGTAAATTACTAACTAGACGGTAGACACATATTAACTTGGGTGAAGGGGAAGGCAAAAATAAATAAATAAAATGGTGTTGGTTGGGGGGAGGGGAAGAAACGTACACATACTATAATCCAAACCATGTTAAAATTTATATGCATAGATAAAATACTAGAAAGAAATACTAATAAGCAATTCTTTTTCAGTGGTAGGAATTTGAGAATTATAAATATTTTCTTTTTAAAAACAAAACACATACTTCATAAATACTTTCTATGCATGTTTAGAAAAATAACTGAATGTTTTTTATATTGGCCCTATAGTGATAATGCTAGCCTGCTGAGGATTTAAAACTGTCTATAGATGCTTTATATCACTGGCTGTTTCCTTTTAGATCCTTACACATTTCATTTCTTTTTCTTTTTCTACTAGGACTTTCAGTAGTTCTGTGATCAATGTGGTTAAAGTGATCACCCTTAATTCTTTCCTCAACTAAAGTGGAATTCCTCCAGTGTTTACCTATCAAGAATGATGTTTACTGTCATTTTGGTAAATAACTCCTTTCAGGTTAAGGAAGCTTACTTCCCTTACTCGTTTACACAGAGTTTTTTCTTAGCAGGAATGGGTTGGATTTTACTGCTTCTTCATGTTTGCCAAGATGGTTATGCTGCTTTTCTCCTTTGATTTGCCAATTAAATGTAGGCATTTACAATGATCTATTTCAGCTATAACTATTACTGGGCATTTTAAAAAAGTAATTTTGACAGTAACTCAAAATCATTTTTCTTCTTAAGCTACGTATCTACATTGCCTTTGAAAAGGTGATTTATATATAAAAATCACTACAAAGCCACATTACTATGAACTTCAACTCAAATGGAGAAAAGCTTTCTTTTCTTAGCCAACATGGGAGCTCATGTGCACAGCCCAGTGCTGATTAAAATTTTGGAGAAAAACTCAAGGTATGAATCCTCTGTGGGTTTGTAAAAGGTAGAAAGCATGCTACCCAACACCTGTACAAGTCCTCCAGCAAGCCAATTATCAGTTCCCTTGTTGTCAAATAGTTCCTACCAGATGTGTTTGTGGAAATAGACAGAAAATTAGAACCTAAGATCCTAGAGACATCAGGGTCTACAACATATGTATTTAGGACTCTCCTGTCAGTAATTTCCATTACAATTCTGCTTCTGTTGGGAAACATTCTTACCTTATATGATAACCATTTGTTATTTGAAGAATTAGTTCCTATTAAAAAGTTTACTGTGATCAATTTTTTAAAATGTTTAATATCTTACAAATACGATGTTAGGGACCTGTGAAAAACTGGAAATTTATAATATCATCATCACTTTTACAATAAAATCTATACACCAATCAGCTTAAAGCCCTCAAAGATCTGCCCTTCCAAACATCAACATTTCTGTTCCCATCTTGTGCCCACTGGGGTGCATCCTGCCCTGTAGTTCTCTAACACCATGTGGTTTTGAGTACCTCCTTGACTTTGATGTGCTATTTCCTCTGTCCATGATATCCTTCCTTCTACTCTGTGGAATATTTTGTTGTTGTTGTTGTTATGTGCCATTGAATTGGGTCCGACTCATACCAGGCCTGTCTAGTGTTCCCTAGGCTGTAAATCATTCCCCCAAGGAGGAGCTGGTGAGCTCAAACGGCTGACCGTGTGGTTTGTAGTCCAGTGCTTATCTATGGAGCCACCATGCTCCCTTGAGAAGGATTTATTCTCTCACTATTTGGCATCAGACACCTTTTTATTAAGGCAACTGTTGCAGTGTTGGCTAAGAATACACTTCCATCCTAGAACTCTGACCTCTGGACTGTAAAGACACAGCAAAACTCCTACCACCTACACTTATCACAGCAATTGCCACATGGTAGGACCCTCCCTGTATGATGTCTGATGAATAGCTGTATTTCAGTGAACATTAAGTTTCAACTTTAAGAAAAAGGAGTAAATAAGTATTTTAAGTTTGCATTTTTTTTCTTAAATAGTAATTCTTCTTTCTTTAAAATGACTTTGAATGTTTCTTTTTTTCTTCACCAATTGAAAATGCTCTTTTTTTTTATACAAAAGCTAAAACAAAACAAAATCAAAATTAGAGACTGATAGAAAGGAATGGTACATTTCCAAATATTATCTAGTGTACTTTCACATACAATATACAGAGAATTATTATCATGAAATTTTACTTTCAACACTTGAAACTCAAATTATCAAAACAATATACAAGTTGGTTCTGTCTATGTCATTACCTCAATGATTGTTGGTTTCCCCACACTTTCAGCTGTTGGAGACCCATACAGCACTCCATCACTATAAGGAGTCCTCTGGATGTACCGAAGCCATCCAGGTCGGTCTGGGTAACCCATTAAATTTGTGTTGAATGTTATGGGGTCATTACTAATCTCACCTAGGTAAGAAGTCCAGAATTAATATACAAGGCTGTGATTTTCACAGATTTTTTTTTTGATAGTTTCAATCAAACATTCCTCTCTCACATTTTTTCTTACATTTGTATTAAGTTAAACAGAAAAAAGCAAAATCCATCTGGGAATTTAGATTATGGCATCATGTAAGGAAAAAAATCCATTTGGTTGTTTAGATTATCTGGAAATCTGATGCAACAATAAAAAAAAAAAAAAGGGCTGCACACAATTTTCTAGAATTTGTTCTTCTTCATTTCTTAGTGATAGAGCAGTTCTGTCAGTAAGACAGCTACCTTTCATGAAAATCACCTATCATATTGATGCATTCATATTCTTGAGAAGTCTATATACAACCAAATTAATCTTAAAGGCAATCTTAAAATTATCATCAAAACAAAAATAATGTAATTTTAAAGTGCTGAGGATGGGATGAAAAAGATGCTACAAATGCAAAACAATTGTAATAATGATAGCATTTGTTTTTGTTTTTGTTAGGTGTCATCAAGTCGGTACCGGCTCACACCAACCTTATGCACAACAGAACAAAATACTGCCCGGTTCTGCACCAACCCCACAACCTTGCTACGCTTGAGCCCATTGTTGCCACTGTACCAATCCATCTCATTGGGGATCTTCTTCTTTTTCTCTGCCCCTCTCCACGTTACCAAGCATGATGTCTCTCTCCAGGGACTGGCCTCTCCTGATAATATTTATTAATAATGCTCAATAACAGTAGCATCATTTATTGCACGTGGCAAGAGTGCTAAGAGTCTTACAGGCGCTATTTCATCGGCTTTTCACAGTGTGCCTATGAAGTAATTGTCATGGTTGTTAAGTGCTGTTGAGTCAGTGCCGACTCATAGCAACACTGTACAGGGTTTCTGAGGATCGGCTGGTGGTTTTGAATTACCAATCTTGTGGTTCACAGTCCAGCGCTGATCCTACAGTGATACAGCAGGAGTCCCGTAACTATGAAGATGGTACGATTAGCCATAATTTTATTGCTAGAATATGTACTTTGGAGAAATCAGTTAACTCTACCATGGTAATAGGGTCTCTATGGGTTGGAACCGGCTCGACGGCACTTAACAACAACAAACCATGGTAATATTAAATAGTGAAACTAGAATTCAATTCAGAGCTGATTTCTGCAACTAGGCTCTGAACTACATGGTTCCTTCTTAAAGGTCAGAGCTGTTGCTCAAGAAATTTAACCAAAATAGCCTTGCAAACACAGAATGCCTCCTGTTTTGTTTGTTTGTTTGTTTGCTTTTAAATGACTGATGAAAAGACTACCATTTTCTTGAATACAATTGAGAACATTTTTATGAGTGGTTTCAGGAATGCTATTCATAATGTAAGGCATCCTGGTGGCACTGCAGGGTAAGTAATGGGCTACTAACTGCAAGGTCACTTATTCAAATCCACCAGCCACTCCACAGGAGAAACAGGAGGCTGTCTGCTCCCATAAATACTTAAAATCTAGTTATTCCTATATAAAGTCACTATGAGATGAAACCAACTCGACGTTAGTGGCTTTGTTCTGGCAGGGTTTTTTTGGGGGGGTGGTATTTATTATATAATCCATAAAAATAATATTTATGTTAATTTTATTGCTAAATGTATATTTACAAAAAGAAAATTTATTTTTACTTGTTACTTAAGAGTTATAATAACTTAGTATGTTTTCTCCTGCTTTCTTTAACTTCATTAATTTGATATATGTGTTTAAAGGAGCCCTAGTGGCACCGTGGTTAAGTGTTTGGCTCCTAGCCAGAAGGTTGGTTGCTCAAAGCCACCAGTGACTCAATGGGAGAAAAATGTAGCAGTCTGCTTTTGTTAAAATGGATAGCCTTTGAAACTGTATTGAATAGTTCTACCTTGTTCTACAGGGTTGCTATGAATTAGGTTCAACTCAATGACAATGGGGTTTTTTGGGCAATAAATCAACATAACATACCGAAACCAATAGTGAACTAAATGAGACAAGACTTCGTTATTGGTATTATTTCGGAGGAAAAAGTTAATTACCATTAAACTACATAAAATTATTTCCCATTCTAAATGTTTTGAGACTCTTAATTTCAGTATCTTCTATAACATATGTATGCTTTTGTTGTTATTAAATGCCATCCAGTAGGTTCCAACTCATAATGACCCTGTATAGGGTTTCCGAGGAGCATGTGATGGGTTCCAATTGCCAACCTTGAGGTTTGATGTCTAGTGCTGATCCTACAGGGCCACACCAGCAGTCCATAACATATGCATACTTTCCCCAAAATCGATGTACTATGTGAGAATCTGAGTCTTAAAATGGAGAATCAAAATTGTACAGCTCTGGACTACAAACCACAAGGTCAGCAGTTCAAACCCACCAGCCATTCCTTGGAAATCCTAAACAGGGTATTGCTATGAGACAGAACTGACTCAACCTCACTTAAAAATAACAATTTTTACTATGTGAATACAGGTAGATCATTAGTCAGATGTATAAAATCAAGACTGAAACTCCAGAAATAGACTTTCTTTAAAATTCAAAAGTGAATTAAATCCTTCTGTAATTAAATTCTAAATCTTAATAGAAATCATACAACAAACAATTCATCACTTATCTGGGTCATTTCAAATACTGTTCATGATATCTGATCACATATTTAGATTATGAACATTGAACAAAAAGAAAAATGTAGTAAGTTAACCATTTTTTTCCCTGACAAAAAACATACCAGGTTTTGGATATGGTGGAAATTCCCCTTTAAAATATTCTCTTTCCAAAACATGAACAAAGAGGACTCCAGCAGATGGGTATACATTCCGATCAGAGTGCACCTTGGAGAAAATAGTGTACACTGAAAACAGAGGAAAGATAAGAGACAAAGACAAATAATGAGCTCCACCATGCATGATGCAGTTTACATTGCAATAACGGGTGTCACGATGCCGACATTTCTGGTAAAGCGGATACAATGTGCAACAGAACTGTTAATAATAGTATTTTAAAGAGAAGTCATTTTAGGACAAAACTTTCAACCAAGTTAGACGGTTTAGAAACTTCTCAAATATTATGAAGACAAAATTAGGTACATTTAATATTGAAGTTGTTATTAAACCATGAAGACAACATTATCTTTTTGGTAATTTTTTTCTAATTGAAATTACTGCCCAAAAACACAACATGAGAATTGACCAACTATGACTATAATTGCTGCTGTTTTTTCCTTTTGTTTTTAAAAATAAAAGTACATAAGAGTAGTTTTTTTTTAACAGTGAAAATCTACATTGTATTAACTGTTAGCTAGATAAATCACATCAGACTGTGTAATATGTGAAGCAACTTTCACAGATATTTAGGTAAATTCACTGGATACTTTTAGTTAGAGTATTCATTCCTCCTTTCTCTCCAAGAAATTATTCATTCCATTTCCCTGATCCTGACATTTAATAATTCAAACTATTACAGTTTGTCCTATATAAATAACAATTTCATAATAAAATTTAGTGAAAATAATTTATGTAAGTGAAATTGAGACAGATTTCATGATTGAATGGTTACCTTATATGATGTGGGTACAGTGAAATGGCCAAATTGGTTTGATTAGCTTCCACCTATTGTTTTTCCTCTGATATCATCATCTCCACCAACACATTACAGCCATTACTCTTGTCACCTCTACAATCTCTTTTGGGTTTCTATCTTCCTGATTGGCTAATGGCTGCAATTTTTAGACAAATAAACCCTATCAAACCAATTCTCCCTCTTAGTCACTGATGGATTTGTAAATGCAGTAATTAACCTTAGAACCCCAAGGCTGCTCGCTCCAATCTCACAACTTAGTAGAAGCCCAGTATACCAAGATCACTGGCAGTAATTTTCCAGCATTAAAATAGGAACTCCACAAAATGTTTATCTGTGAAAACTTGTCCTTGCAGTTTTGTGGAAGAGAGCCAAAATGGGGAACTGAATTAAAATATTCGGCTTGTAGTTTCACGTATCTTAACCTTTACTAATAAAAACATGACTTCAAAGACTCTACAATAGAGGGAAGGAAGCTGTAAGTTAGGTTTTAGCTAGATATTTAGGGAGACTCCCATTCTTTTCTGAATTGTTTAGCGCTAGTATTCACCAGTGGTCTTCTATGGCATTGAATGGACTCACGTTATAGCCAAGAACAATTTACTCACCTGTAGAAAGGCTCCCAACTCCCACTATTTTCTAAAAACAAGAATGAACAAATCACAGAAAAATAGAGCGGATGAGGGTTTTTACCATTTTGATTCCACAGTGAGCCCTGAAAGTCTGGTCCTATAGGGAATATGAAGATACAGGAGACTCAGTTCTTGCCTTTTGTGAGCTTATCATCTGGTTAAGCAAATCAACACTCATGTAACTAGGTATTATCCCAGAAATATTAACTGCTCTACAATACTTGGGAAAATGGTGGGGAGCAATTGAGGTTGGAAAGACTCGTGAAATATTTATGTAAGAAGCAGAATTTTACATGGCTCTGGAAAAGTATTAGAAGCATTCTGAAAGTAGATGGACAATTCAGCATCTCAGTGGTGGAATTGAAGGTATAAGGTAAAGTGGTGGGATACTGTGGAGAGCTTTCAAGAAAGGGAATTAAGTCAATGATGCTTGATCCTCAGGTATATTCAAGGTATGGGCACAAAGTCTGAGAATACAAGAAGAGTCAAATTATGGGGGGCTTTGAACCCCTAAAGGAGCCCTGATGACACTGTGGTTAAGTACTAGACTGCTAACTACATGGTCTGCAGCTAAAACCCGCCAGCTGCTCTGCAGGAGAAAGATGAAGCTTTCCACTCCTGTTAAGATTTACAGCCTCAGAAATCAAAAAGAGGGCTGCCAGGAGTAGGAATTGACGGATGGCAGTCAGTTTGGGTTGGGTTAGTTGAGCTCCTGAGGTTATTTCAAACTCTGGGAAAAGATGTTTAAATTCTAGATCATAACCCCACAGTTCAACAATAGGAAGACTGTGAATAATCAAGTTGACTGTCTTAAGAATTTATCAAATTTACTCTGTCTAGAGATTTCAAAACATCTTGAAGTTCAGCTCTTTACCTCTGTTATTTTTTCTCAGCACCTAGAAAAAAACAGTATATTTAAATAATTTTATCAGTGTCTACTGAATGGGTAAATACTTTCAAATAAGAAGCACTGGATAAGTAAACAATACTTGCATGGCTAGTAACTAAATATAAATTTTAGATTTCATTTTGATAATTTGTGTTAATTATCAATTGTGTATAGCACTTTATGGATTATTATCATCCATCTACATTGTAAACTACTAAGAGTCTCCCTAGTTTTTGCTTCTATAAGGCAGTTAAAAGGTAGTTTATAAAACAAAAAGAAAGACTGTTCGTATTAAATGGCTTTCAAATAATCCTATTTTATATAGGCCTGGGAGTACTGGTATGGCTCTGTGGGCTAATGTGTCAGACTGCAAAGTCTTTTGAACTGCAAAGTCGGTGGTTCAAGCTCACCAGCTACTTGCGGTGGGTTGGAATTGACTCGATGGCACTTAACAACAACAACAACAACAACAAGCATGGCTTGCAGTAGATCCATAAAAAGGTACCTGCCATTCTATTCACCTCACCTTAAGGACTAGTATGTTGTTGTTGTTGTTAAGTGCTGTTGAGTCGATTCCGACCCATAGCGACCCTGTACAGAACATCTCCATTACTACAGTCATAAAAAAATTTAAAAAAATTCAAAATCTCTGAGCTCTAGAGTCAAACTACAATCCACCACTGCCCTCCTAGGTTTTCAGATGGCATGCACATTTCTTTATTCATGTGTATTCAACTGCCTTTCTGCAATCCACTGAACTACATACTTGCTGGTCAGTTGCCTTGGCAACCCTACAGTAAAGCCTGCTTCACTTTAAGTATAGTATGCCATTCACTTTGAGAAAAACATGATACAGATGTATATGACACATTCACCATCTAGAAATGGAAAATGACTAAGCCACTATGTTTTGTTTGTTAAAAGAATACTTCCTTTCTGTAACATCAGTTTAAATTATGGGCACCCACACAGCATTTTCGAGAGGTGCCCTTTACCTTTGCCATTTATTACTTGTAAAACAAACAGCTCCTCAACAGAAGCTATTTGGGCAGTATTTATGCCTCTGCTTCCTTTCAAAAACAACAAATGACACAGAGAATTAGAAGCTATAGGCTCTTGTTCTAAACACGAGCTCTACAAATAGTGTTGATGGGCTCTGCACCCAATCCCACAAAGGCTGTTACTAGCAGTTAACACATGTTGCACTCATATTTGACTAGGTAGGACTCACAAATACAGTAAGCTTTTTTTCCTTAGAGCAAATCTTGAAAATCAAATTTAAACACCCTAAGATTCCACAATGCTAGATCTAATAATCTCTGAAATATACATGTGTATAGTGTCATGCTAATCAGCCAAGGTTACAGGGTTTGGCCTCTGTGTATCTCACGGCTTTGCAATCTTTTACAGCTGCAAATCCATTACCTCTGCAAACACATGCCACTGGAGACAAATGAAACTGGAAACCAGTGTGTGGCTAAATCCGTGGAAATCCATCACCATTAATGGGAAAAACAATTAAACCAAAAGCCCAATCCACAGGGGATCAAAAATATCATCTTCAAATTTCCAGCACAGCTACATTTACAGAGTAAAAATTCCTGAAGACAGGGAGGTATAAAAACATATTTTTTAAGAAGAACTTTCTTTCCTATTCTATCTGTGTAGAGATGACCTCAGAAACCCTATACAGGGTCACTATGATTCAGAACCAACTCGACGGCACTTAGCAACAACAACAAGAGACGATCTAAAGGGGTATGTGGGTCAGTGGCTAAGATAATTACTTTACCGTTCCTAAATGTAGGTCCAATGTTTCTCATCATCATGCTATCAAAATCTCGTTCATGAAACTGCTCTCTGTACATTTTAGTCATAAGATATAGAAACTACAGACAATTTCAACATCTGATTATTATGTGACAGCAGAGAGCCAAGAAAAGGGCAGTAGTAGGATAAAGTGGGACCTCGTGCTAGCTAAATAGCATCCTATCTTCCTTTATTAATAGTCCATTCGAAATTTTCTCTCTCAGAGAGCAGCATTATGATGTAAATATAAGGGTGTGAGTCTGTGTGTTTATTTACAATTACCTAAAAACAAAAGCAAATTTGGATGTATTTAGCAAACATGAAATTCTGAAGGGATGCTGGTGATGCATTGCTAATGAATCTATGGCAAATAACTGACAATTATTACACTAATGATTCCTAATGACATGTGCATGTGCGCAGACACGCGCACTGTCCTTTCTTCACGGAAAATGTCCCGAGAACACTTAGTAGCCCTTTTTCTGGGTCACCACGAAAAAGTACATGGCTGTAACGATAAAACAGCTGCTGAGTGTGAGACCCCGCTAGCGCTAGCTAATTTTAACATGCAAAGCTGTTTTCTGTCTGCAATCTTTGAGCAGGCCTCAAGAGCTGTCAATATTCACGCTTGGGTGACTTTCATTAGTTATCTATTATGTGTATGTCTTTCTTAGGATATTGATGAACAAATAATTTTCAAAGGTTCATTTATACCATCATTTTCTAATTTTAAGATTTAAGCGAATACAGGGGTAAAAAATCTGTTTACCAGGAACCCCAAAGAACGAAGCACTCCAGAGAGCTAAGTTTTCTAAATGCTCAGTAGTCCATCCTCTTTCATTATGGTTTAAGGTCATCATTTTGCACATCACTTATTGCACTCTGCTCTATTATACAGAGACACCCTTATGGGCTGTTTGGGTGCCTTGTCATGTACTGATCACA